CTGAGATAGCAACCAGAGAGCATCATGCCCAACATCAATATACAATTCTTGCAAGTAAAAGGATTGTAGGACATGGTCCTCATAGTGGTGGTACTCTGTGCATGACAAATACACCGGACATTTCCTATGCACTCCTCACATCCAAGCCTGGTATCAACTCCATGACACATACATTTTGGGACAAAGCTGTCTTGTTCCCGCAGCCTCTCGGCATGACGTCGTCATCTCTACACAATAGTTGTAGGCATAATGCACTGGGCGGAATGGGTCTCTCTCTGACGGTCTTGGTTGGGGGATAAATCTTGTCCGGGCTGCTGCTTATTTGCTTATTGCCTCGACCTTTGTACAATCACGTCGGCAACAATCCGCTGCACCAACCCCAGAGAGGCAGCATCAACTCTGATCTCATTCGACTTGACGCTTACTGGGCCTGAGCATCAATTGATGTAAGCTGACAACGGTATCAGGCAATTGATCTGCCCTTGTTGCTGCACGGCAGTACGGCAGCACGGCAGCACGGCATCTGGTGGCTATTCCATACGGGCCGAAAGGTCACAACGGGCCAAAGACATGCCATTCAATCAACACGACACTAACCCCGTGGCAGTTAATGCCAAAACCTTGATGGGCCCCTATTCACAGAGAGCTTACTTATAAAAGAAGCTCATTCGCCGACCCGACCTGCTACTCGAGTGAGAGGCCAACTAGACACGTCAATCACAGTCACGATGCATCTCTCTATTCTTGGGCCCATGTGTCTGGCGAGCGCCGTCTCGGCCTGGCTCCCTCAGGACCTTGACTTGCAAGCCTTCAACCAGACGGCTCGGTTTGAGAAGCTCGGCAAACGCTTCAAGCCCTCGTTGCCCAATGGCGTCACCAAGATCCGCGGCGTCAACTTTGGGGGCTGGCTCATCTGCGAGCCCTGGATGATGCAGAACGAATGGAGAAACGTCCTCGGCTGCGGCGACTCGGCCTCTGAGTTCGACTGCATGAACGACCACTACAAGGGCGGCAACCGAGAGGCCGGCAATCAAAAGTTCGAGAAGCACTGGCGAGATTGGATCAACCCGGATACCGTGCAGTCGGTCCACGACGTCGGCCTCAACACCATCCGCATCCCCATCGGGTACTGGTCGTACACGGACATTGTCGACAAGGCCAGCGAGCCCTTTGCCGACGGCGACCGCATGCTGCCCTACCTCGACGCCGTGGTCCAGAAAGCCGCCGACCTGGGCATCTACGTCGTCATCGACCTCCACGGCGCGCCGGGCGGCCAGCAACAAGACGCCTTCACCGGCCAGAACAACAAGCCCGCCGGCTTCTTCAACGACTACAACTTTGGCCGCGCCGAGAAGTGGCTCGCCTGGATGACGAACCGCATCCACACCAACCCGGCGTACGCGAGCGTCGGCACCATCGAGGTCCTCAACGAGCCCGTCTCGCGGCACGACGCCGGTGGTCGCTACCCTGCCCCCGGAGAGGACCCCGGCCTCGTGCAAAAGTACTACCCGGCCGCGCTCAAGGCCGTCCGCGACGCCGAGGCCGCCCTCGGCATCGCAGACGCCAAGAGGCTACACGTGCAGTTCATGTCGAGCAAATGGGACGCTGGCGATGCGCGCGCCGCCGCCGCCGTGGCCCGCGATCCCGCCACGGCCTTTGACGACCACAACTACATCGGCTTCGCGCTGGGCAGGAGCAACGGCGACCAGCGCCGCCTCATGCACAGCGCGTGCACCGACTCACGCGTCGTCAATGGCCAGGCCTTTGCCGTCACGGGCGAATGGAGCATGACGTCCGGCGTCGACTGGAAGGACGCGGGCTTCTTCAAACGCTTCTTCACCGCCCAGCAGCAGCTCTATGAGAAGCCCGGGATGGACGGATGGATCTACTGGACCTGGAAGACGGAGCTCAACGACCCCAGGTGGACGTATTCCTATGCCACGTATCTCAACTATGTTCCTACCGATGCTGCTGCGCTCGAGAAGAATGTGTACCAAGATGTTTGCTCTGGATTTAGGTAGGCAACGGCCGTCTTGTTGCGGCGGGTTGGCCAAGCCCACGGAAAGCATGTAGACGTGATGAATACAAGCATGACTGTTGTCGGTCACCGGCTCAACAACACCCGTTGTTTACCGTAGAAGTATCATGGTGACATGGTATATCAAAGTATAGACAAGTTCCCCGGGCAACCACGTGAATGTCAACAACTGTCGGGCGTTTCATGTGCCTCACGATGCTGGCGATCCCCCCGGGCCGGTTTGGCGATTTGCTGGAACGGCACTGTGCGGCGACGAGAAATCGAGTGTTTTCCACAGTCAAAGTAACTCGTCGACCAGGCTACAGTCCGCGTCCTGTAGATTATCAGCCTACCAGCTCGTCAAACGACCCATTCGTAGTCCTTGGGTCTCGAGATTTCAACATCTCTGCTGCACTGCTTTCGTCCCATGTTGCCGCCGTTGCAACGTTCTTGGCGCATCCCTCGCAGTCGCTACTGATATAAAGTTGGCGCCACAGGCCGATCACACAACAAGGAACCGGGTTCCAGGGAGGCCGCCAAAACAGGCATCCGTCTGTCCACCGTCTGGGTCTTGCTTTTCGTAAAGGGGGCTATTAGACGGACGAGAACGACGCAACAAACCAGACATTGTACTCTCGTGCGGAGACTCCATTGTCAGGTAGAGTGAAGGGACAAGTAGCTACCATGTATCTCGCAAGTAGTATAAAACGAATTGGCAAAAAAATCAACCCAGGGGCTCAAGACGAACATGGACAAATGACGCTGGTATTAAGTATCTTTAAGCGCTCCACGACAAGAAACCCGAAAATCGTTTCGAAATGACGTCCTCTTGGCCCACCGGCAACAATAGCCCAAACTGTCGCCTCGGCTCAACGCCACCACGCCCAACGACTAACGCTCTCATCTAAAGACACATGGTCGAATTTTGTCTATGAATCATCATGCTGTACAATATACACCCAAGCTGCCCCCAGTCCCAGAAAGATCTGCTTCGCCTACAGTCAACGCGTACGGTAATATACAACGTCATCCCGTATTGCCTATGCATAATGACAAGTTATATCAAAATAAAAAACAAACCAGTGTCATGCTAGACACTGCCCAGTATCTCCAAATAAACGCCAATCGGACAGCAGTCCGTGTATCGCTTCATGATGGCCGCACCGCATGTTGTCTTTCGACCCAGGAATATACGTATAGGCAAACCCGACAATGCCGTCGCAGGGGGCGCAACCATTGGCATTGCGGTACCATGAGCCGCATCGTCAAGTGGTTCACCGCCCGGCACTCGCAGCACATCTCAGGCTTCCGAAATTAAATGTCTGCACATGTTGTTTCGCTTCATATGGTGTTCACATTCCAAGATTATTTAGACGTCTCGATATCCACTGCCAGACTAGGCACCGAGAAGGTGACGTTGGCGGTCGAGCTATAGGCTTCTTGTCCAAAGGCAAGATACCCGAGGTAATCAGTCTTTTGGGGGTAGTTGGCGTTGTTCATGGCAAAGATGGTGTCCATGAGCGGCTTCAGATCTCCTTTGAAGGTGGTGGTAGGCTTAGTTGCTACCCAAGACAGCACCATCTGACTCTGCGAATTGAGTCCAGAGTATAGTTCACTGCAAACAGTCAGCTGGGCCATTTCTTGTCAACAGAAGACGAAATCGACGCCGACTTACAATTCCACGCCCTCAAGGGTCTGGCTTTTGACCAAGCCTTTGTCGGGGGTATTCGTCTTGCCAAGAGGCCAAGCATCTGTACCAAAATCGGCAAACCACACCATCACTTCAAAGCCGGCCTTCTCGCTGTCTTCGGCCTTTGTGCTGTCCTTGTCCATAAACATATCGATGGCCACGTTGGCATTGATCTGGTTTGCTGTAACATCGGCATCGGTAACCTCTTCACGTGTGTCATTCTTGAGCGACAAGGACCATTCAACATCAAACTCGAATTTGGACACGGAACCGATTTGGACAGGAAAGTTTTTGCTATCGACTTTTGCGTTGGGGAAGGCATGCACGTTGTTTCCGGTGCCCGTAACTCGGGGATACTGCCAGGTAGCATTGAAGACGGGCGCTGAGAATTCCGTGGCATACGTTCGATTTCCGTTGAAGTTGACCAACATGCAAAGTGCTCCTTCCTCGCCCTTTTTCCAACCCCAAGGGTTAGGATTCACTTGCGGGAGAAGATTGTCAGCAGTCAATGTCAAATGATTGGCATTTTGGGTTGAGGTTGGCAAGACGGCACCAAAGCAGAGACGGAGAAGAAGAGGAGGAGGAGAAAACGTAGCGCAAATTGTGCATGTATATCGAGGGACTCACGAATGAAATTCTGGCCCTTGGACTTGGGATCGAAACCAAAGGCTTGGTCACACTTTATCTCGACGGTATCCTTGCCCTTGGGAGTACCTATTCCGGGAAGACCATTGTCATCACCACCGCCTGAGAATGGAGGCGGTCGGCCCTTTGCATGATTGTATGCCTGCATGCCAAGCAGGACACCAATGGTGGTAGCGATTGGCAGCGCCAAGAAGACGGCACTTACAAGCCATCTAAGCATGGCTGTAGTATACAATGACAGGCAGAGAATACGATGGAAAGCGAGAGGACAGCGAAGGCGAGTCGCCGGGAGAGCGAAGGAGGGGGGGAAGCTCGCGAGGCCGTGGAATGTCGAGTGTTTCGGTATCGTCGAGTTTCTGTGGGAGACAAACGGCCTTGTTGTCGCTCACAGCGGCGCCAACGACAACGAGCGAAGCGAACGGCGCGCCAGAACGTTGGAATTCGGCGAGGAGCGAGAGTCTAAAGTACAGGACAAGCGAGAGAGGTCGCGAGAGGAGGGTGTGCAAGGCGGCGAGGGGCGAAGTGAGCGTGGAAAATAAAATAAAAGAGACGGATATGATGGACGGGATGAAGAAACGAAACGAACCGGCCAGACGGGATCAGGTGTTGAGAAGACGGGAGCAGCTGGTCGCCTGGGGCCACTGGCACTTACAGGTACTTGGGCGGGTGGTGTGCACGGGCGGCAGCGCAGTTACAGCGGCCGACAGCAGGGCAATAGCGGGCACTGGGACCAGACAATAGCATGCAAGGGCCGCAGCATGTACCTGTAGCCCGGCAAACTTGCCATTGATTAGGAGACATGGATGCCGGTAGACACTGAACGGTCAAGTCATTTGTAACTAAATTCAACGTTCGGTCTGGTGCACTGTGGTCTGGTATTGTGGCAACAGGGGGGGGCTTGGGGGGGTGCGCACTGGGCCGGTCGGCGCCGACATGGAGACTGGGGGCATCCAGATGTCCGGACTGGCCACTGGCGACATCTGGGCTCAGACGGGCCAACAGAGCCCAGGCCATGTGCGGATGCGGCGCCTCCCTGTGGCCCCTTGACTTGCTTGCATTTACCAAAGCGCGTGGCCATTGACATTAGAGATTGATGAATTGGCACAATCAACTGACACGCAGTGTCACAAAAGCGACTGATCCTATTGACAACTTGCCATTCGACTACAATAGCTGGCAAGTATGTATTCTTTTCTCCGCGCCGCGGAGCATCAGACTGGGGGCATGCACACAGCGCCTGCCGTTTGTTTTGATCAGCAAACTCGGAAGTCTTGGCGACACGCGACGAGCAGATGGGAAATAAAAATAATAAGGAAAAAATAGCATCAGCCCCTCAATGCGATCTTGCAAGCACTGCCCGCCAAGTCGCCCACCAGCCCAGTGGCGCCGGTCCCCAGTCCAGCCAGTCAAGCATCCGCAGCTTTCAAGGCAAACGAGTGTCCTGGTCCTAGCAGTTGCTGATCCGGGCCGGCTGAGTGGGTATCCGCGAGGGCCTCAGAGAATTTGGCTCCGTAATAACTAATATATAGGGAGCAGTTCATATCAGCTAATACTCCGTATTGGCCCCGTCCGCCCACTGTCCTGGAGCCATGAACCCGGGAGGCAGCCTGTTGAAGAACTGCTCATTTATATATTAATATATTTATTCTCAATGCAAATAGCACAGCACAGCCCAACTCAATGGGCAAACGAACTAACCCCTTGCTCTGCTGCCCTGATCCAAGAGACGGGCTGGTGCGTTATGAACTGATGCCGATGAACCTTGAACATCGGTCCAAAGAATGTCAAGTCTGGCGCGAATGGTGGGTCCAGTCGGGTTCATCGCTCGAGAAAAACGTCAACCGGTCTGGTCCCCTTGAACTTCAACTACAGCGCATCGCGCCCTGGTTCTATGTACTGTAGTGCCGCTCTAGACCCCTACCGGAATAGGTAATCACTCCAGGTCAGCTATTGGTTGTTATTGGTGCAATCAATTGATCCTTGGAGGCGCCGGCTCAGTAGAATCCAGAATCTGGCACTGTATGTACATAGCAGCAATGGCCTGTCGGCAATTACTCGGTACAAGAACCAGACAATGCTTGAAGGATGGCGCAGTGCAGATTATTCCCCCAGCCATCATGGGACTACGTACAACATATTCGCAAAGGACCCAGAGAATCCTTTTTCTGACACAGCTTGCACCATTTTCAGGGCTTAGAACCCTGAGCACATACAGTACCGTCCGGCGCTAAAGGAGGCATACATGGTGGCTGAGCGCCAGATGGGCCGAGACGGGATGCAACAGCCCTCAAGGAAACAGGAGAAACTGCAGAACAACAGAAAAAGACCATCCCCCCCCTTGGCCTGTTAGTGACTGGCAATGGGCACAAAGTGCGTGTTAACTACCTACTGTGTGCCGTCTAACCGAGGCTGCCGACGCCTGAGGGTGAAGCCAAAAGGCCAATCAGATCAATTCATGGCGGCCAGTTCGCACCTCTCGGGAGCACAGGGGCATGGGCCAACCAGTTGGCTAGGATGGATTGGAGGAACAGATTGTGCAAAGGGGGGCGCTAAGCAGGGGCTATAGAGGCTAAAGAGGAAAAGAAGAGGGGCAGAATCGTATCGCAGATGGCGCTTGGGCTGCGACGCATGCCGCCCGTGCCAGTCGAATGGCCGGGTCCGCGAGACCTTCTCTTGCCCACGGACTCGCACACAACACACACACACACGCACATTGACATTACTGTAACGCTTGACCCGTTGACACGCCGACACGCTCGCTGCTGGCAAACGTGTGCACAGCCTGCATCTTGGTTTGGACAAGGCATCTAATGCCCTTGTGTGCCTGGCAGCCTGAATGTGTTTGACGGATAGGGAAGGCGCGCCGCGTGCTCCGTATTCCAGCAAAATTTTGCTTGGGAACGTGACCGACTTGACGGCGGCGCAGGCTTCAACACGAAAAATTTCAAACCAGGCTCCCGCTTCCGCCCCTTCTATTTTGGACAGGTCGACTTTATTGCGCGGTGAGTTATCTCACCTCTGCTCGCATGGAATGGGTCTGCATCCTGGCAAAGCTGACCGGGCTCAAGAGACATGAACACTGAGAGTGGCCGATTATGCATGTCCACCCAAAGATAAAGGAGAAAAAAATGAGTTTGGCCAATCTTATTTACAGTGGGTACCTAGCCCCCCTTGCAATCAACCCAACTTAAAGACGTCAATGTTGCTTTATTATTCTCTAGTACTACTACTAGTACTACCTGCAAGACAGTGGCGGCGGTGAGACGTGAGACGTTGCTACTCAATGCTGATTGTACGGAGTACATACAACAAACCCTGGAACAACGGACCAGGTTTTATTAGGAGACTTTATGGCGGAAGTTCCAGCAACAACGTGGATGACGACGGTGTGCCTGCCTGTGTGCCATGGCACTAGCAGAATGCCTAAAGCCCCAAGCACGCAAACTATTGTCCATTCCGAGCCATGCTAGGGATGATAAGACTTTGACCGATTTAGCATAGGGACCGAAGAAAGACGAATATGTCGGGACGCACTACACGAGGATCGGTGTGCTGAGCGGCAAGCGCCTAAAATGCCCACATGGCACGATGCCGAAACACTTCCGCATGCTGGCGATTTCCACACTCAGAGAACCGCGTTGATAGGCCGATTACATGGTGTGAACAGACAGGCCTTGGGCATCTCAAACTAGCCAACCGCCGGCCACAACAAGCCGTATTTGCGGGACAGGTGTGTGATGAATGGAGCTCTTCTTCAACATGAAATTAATCGTACTCAGTTGGCTCCTTGAGACTGTCCTGGTCAAGAGCAGAGGCTTGTCGTTGAAACGCGAGCGGACACGCCACCCAGGCGGATAGAAAAGGAGAAGCTTTCATGGCGACGCCAGGGCAGCGCCAGTATCCCCGTTCCAACTGCCACTACGGCCACAGACGAGTAGCCGCAACCTGCCAGCCAATGTGAGCAACAGACTGGCCCGTCTCCAGGGCTGGCTGGCCGGCCTTTGAGGATCCGAGCGAGTGAGCCATTAATTAATATTCGACAACTGGCGACTAGGCAGGAGGCCCTCACTCGTCGAGAGGCAAAAAATGCTTGCGGGATAGCCTAGTGGGGCCAAGCAGGAGTGTGGTATTGATGAGGGGATGGAAGTGCCACTCTGGGCCACTTGGTGGAAGCGCTGGCGCCATTGTCACAGCTTGAACCGCCCGGCTCAACCGAAATCCTGGAAGGGACTTCAGCTCTCGGCACCGGTATCACAGCATGCCGTGGGCAACTCGCAACGTTGCAGGTGCAAGATCAAAATAGAGCAGAGGTGAAGGGAGGCGGCTTGGCTGACGGGTGTGGCAAGACGGTAGCGACATTCGTTCATACCACTGGAGCCCGCGTTCGCCGGATCGGATCGACGGGTGGGGATTTCAAGAGACGACAAAGATAACATTTGTTGGGGGGGGCATGGGCGCTATTCAGGTAAAGCACTGCATGTGCGCTCTTGCGCTCTTTCGATCCCTGTGAGGTCACGGTCTGAGTTGCGAGTTGCGTGACAGAAATCAGACTGGCCGCAATGTGTGCAATGGCCGTCACATGGAGTATATTGACGGCGCATCAAAGAAAGGCTTATTCACCTAGGTGACTTGAACGCCCCGAACTCTGTCATCCCATCAATAACTAGGATGGATGTATTGTACATATGTACACAATGAAAAGGCGAAACATCATCGGCTAACCAATGGCGCGGCGCGCTACATGGACATGATGCGATCTCAAGCAAACCCAACGGCAAAACTCTATTGTACTCTGGTATGCTTGGCCCCCATTTTGCGTCATAATAGAAACCTACCGGTGTTTCTGGGGCATTGACTTTACTAGGCTCGAAGCTTCAGGTCGCAAATTGAAGCCAATGCACTGACAGGCCAAGATGCAAGGCACGAAATGGCTGCAGTTGGATGACTCTCTGCTCCTCCACTCCATTCATTCGTCAATTCCTTCTCACACTGTCACGCCGACAATGGACGAACTCGTGGCCCCAGCAACACAGTGCAAATCGAAACCCGTCAACGCTCGTGTTGGACACAGGTAGTGAGCGGGTGACGTGCCATCACAATATCTACCAGGTCGCTTGGTTGGTTGGGAACTTCATGGGAGGCAACAAAAACAACGGTAATACGACTTTCCCCCATCCACGTGGCATGATGATGCACCTGGCACATCGCAGTAACGCCTGATTACCATTGCCGTGTAAACAGAAGCTTCCGGTATCGTGCAGCAAAGCAATTTCAACGCGCCACCATGTCATTGATAGAATTGCATTTAGCAAAGAAAGTATGCTTGAAACCCACGACGCCCTGGTCTTGGAGTCCTGGGGCCTTGGAGTCTCGTGGTTCCGTGTTTGGGAGGCCCGTGCTCGTCCCAGCATGACACTGTTTTGCACGTATTATATCAGTTTGTTGTTGTATTGTATTGCACTGCAATATGTGAAATATACGCATAACACAACACCGAGGATGTAGTGGTTCATTGTCAAGTACGGAGTTGGGTTGTCAGGCAAGCTGGCCCAGAACAATTACTAATTGGAAGCCGGAATGGAAACATGGAGCGTTCAGCACATGAGGCGGCGGCTCAGCTCGGTACGGAGCAGGCAAACGGTCCGGTCACTGAGGCAGCCAGAAACTTTGAGGCAGCACCTGGCTTAACGGCCGAAGTTTCCATGTTGACTGAGATCACTTCAATTACCAGCCCGGCTGCAGTGGATAACAGCACACGCCCCTAAGTGGGGGTCCTCGGTGAACATACGCCCCATCCACCCCTCATCACACCCCCCTTCTCCACACTCGAGCCATTTTTTTTAGTTGTTTGTCCCTTCGTGAACTCGGTATGGTTGAATGGATGGAGAAGTACATTGTTGGAGTTATGTACAGTGCTCTGTTTGGGTTTTTGCCTGCAAGCGTCCAAAATTGAGCATCCAGTCTGTCACTGGAGCCATCCCCACCTCAATACGCTCCGGGCAAATTCATTCAGGCACAGCCGCCTGGAGCAGGACGGGGTCAAGGACCACTCCTCCCTGATGGAGAACATTGAATTGTACGGAGTACAATAATAGGAGACAGTGCAGAGACAGGAGCGTTGGGCAAATCAGCTTGTCAACCTCCTGCCGTGAGAGAGATGCGCAGCTGCGCTCTTCACCCTGCATCTGTCCGCATGCATGTACCGAGTACTTCTGCAATCGAGAGTGCGTGACCTATTTACTCCGTAGTCTGTCTGTACCAAGTACTCTCTACGTCTGCCTGTCCGGGATGTGAAAAACAAGCAACAACCGCAGCTCGGGAGGCAAACCAGTCCATGCGTTAATACCAGCCAAGTTTAGAAGCCAAACTGTTGTGTCGTTCCTTCCCGCGGCTCCTAGTCCGCAGCCCGCACACCGTCCGCGCCAAGTACCAAAGTACTAGTAGTACTAGTTCTCTTTTTTATTCTTCCTCGTATCGCTCGGCCTTTGCCTTCTTTCTCATCCTCCTCCAAGCACCTGGGTGATGATCCCCATCGCAGCGTTGTTTTCAACAGTCATAACATAACCTCTTTTCACTCGTTTTGGTGTTTTAACTCGTCAGCTTCGCGCTCAGGGTGGTTGTACAAGTTCTCGTTTCCCGCCGTCTCGTTCGTTTCTCGAAATCACTGAACCGCCCAAACCGTGCCGCTTCACATACACGTCGATTTGGCCCAGCAAACGACCACGACCCTAAACAGTTCACCTCTGCCACCGCGATCTTATCCGCCGTTTTTCCAATTATTAATTACTTAATCCATCACACACAGGAGCGCAAGAAGATCAAAAGAAGAAGACAATAGTCCTGGCCTGCCTTGTCTCACCGCATTCAACGTCCCCGATCAGCTGACGCCGATCAACATCGCTCGCTGACTCTCGTCTGGTTCACCTGCTACATTCCCAAGCTGTGGATTCACTCTTTTTTTGGCTCCTTGACTTGGAAATCAGCAAGTCGGAGCATTTCAGTCAAGACTGTCAAGACCCCAGTGAGGGAACTGTTTGGATATATTTCGAACCTCTTGTTCTCTAGGCCGTCGCAATCATGAAAGGCTACGCAGAGGAGGAGGAAATGCTGGAAATAGGAACTTTCCAGCGCCGTGACCAATATCATCCCTACGAGCAACAAGAACCTTCCATAGAAGAGTTTCCTCCTAGACCCGCCCGAGGTACCCCCAGAGGTCCAGCATCAAACGCTTACTCACAGCCGAATTCGTATTATCCCGATGAATTTGCATCACCCTCGCCAGGCTGGCCGCCTTCAATTGCAGGTCGTTCAGAATCTCAGACACTAGTGGACAGTGCTGAATCCAGGTCTAGCGTTCGCTCATGGCGGACTGGACAACAGACACCGGTCGATTCGACTGGTGCACCTCGGTATAGTGTTCCATTTCACAATGACTCTGGCCCGTCAACGCCCATGGTAAGAAAGCACATCTCTGCATTTGGATTTTTTTCTCCTGCCCTCTTTTTCCTATTGTGTACTAATGAAATGGGCAAACAGAACCAAAGTCACATTAGCCTCACTGGACTCCTTAAGCAAGCTCAGCCACCAGCTGGAGGTAAGGACTGGGTTGATCGTGAGAGCATTGATATCGTACACAAACGAGATGATAGCGACATCTGGAAAGGCTGGAGACGGCATTTATTCAGACTGGTTCCCCTCTTGACCTTCGCCAACACTGGCTTCTACATAGCTTATTTGGCTCTGCGTATCGCATGCGTTGTTTGGGCCCAGAATGCGTTTGAGACAACCTACTCAGCCGCTTGGATCTTCATCGCTGTGGAAATCGCTGTCGCCATTCCTTCTTTGATGCATAATAGCTGGACCATGATGTCAATGAAGAAGCGATATAGACCCAAGCTGCGGTTGAGAGGTTACGACGTCCCTACCGTCGACGTCTTTGTTACTTGCTGTGGCGAGGACGATGACCTTGTAATGGACACTGTTCGAGGCGCATGCGATGTCGACTACCCTTACGATAAGTTTCGTGTCATTGTCTTGGATGACGGCAAGTCAGAGACTCTCGAGGCCGCCGTTACCCGGCTAGGCATGTCCTACCCCAACGTCTACTACATGGCTCGTGTGAAAATTCCCGGACAACCCCACCACTTCAAAGCTGGGAATCTGAATTACGGTCTTGAGCAAACTCACCTGCTTCCTGGTGGTGCTGGGCAGTACATGGCAGCCTTGGATGCCGACATGGTACGTTTGGGTTGATTATTTGCCGCTTTTCCTCCTGTGCATAGCAGTCTAACCAAGACGCAGATTCCCGAACGTGACTGGCTCCGAGCTATTCTCCCGCACCTCCTCATTGACAACAAGATGGCTCTTGCATGCCCTCCCCAGCTGTTCTACAACACGCCCCCATCCGACCCGCTGTCTCAGAGTCTGGATTTCTTCGTTCATGTCATCGAACCTATCAAGGACGCGCTTGGTGTTGCATGGTGCACCGGCTCCGGTTATGTTGTGCGACGTGAAGCGCTCGATGAAATTGGCAACTTTCCTCTTGGATCATTGGCTGAAGATGTTGCTACTTCCACTCTGATGCTCGGCAAGGGCTGGAAAACCGCCTTTATTCACGAACCCCTTCAGTTTGGTACCGTACCCGAAGATTTTGGTAGTCACTTGAAGCAGCGCACCCGCTGGGCCATTGGAACTGTGGACACAGCCTTCAAGCTCAAATTCTGCTTATGGGGTGAGAAGATTCGGCAGATGACACTCGCTCAACGATTCTCTGGGTTCCTCTACGCCGTGCTCAGCTTGTACACTATTCTTGTCTCGATTTCCCTGTTCGCCATTCCCATTATCCTGGTCATGGGCAAACCCTTGGTTGCCTACGCCTCTGAAGAACAGCTCCGTTGGCTCATTCGTGCTTGCTTCGCTTCAACTATCAGCAACCGCCTGTGCGAGTTTGTTCTCTTCATCCCTGCCGGCTACCACACGGGCCAGCGTGGTTCGCGATACCAGCTTTGGATGTCGCCGTACATTGCTCTGTGCCTCATTCGTTCCTTCATGCTACCCAAGTGGCTGGGAGGTCAGGTGCAAGCTTTCAAGCCCACGGGTTCTTTGTCTTCGGCTCTGAACGAGCGTGATCCCGCACTGAAGAAGAATATGTTCCGCCGCGTCTGGACCATTCTCATCAACTACATGGGAATATTCCACCTGCTTTTTGTTTACTTCACACTAGTGGGCGTGGTACTGACTTCATACCGATGCTTCGTTCGCACAGAGAGCACTCGTTCGCTCTTGATGTGCCTGGTGACGCACGCATTCTGGCCGCCGTTGACGTTCATCTTCATCTGTAGCTCTCTGTGGACTCCAGTCGCCTACGCCATTGACCCGCCGCAGATGCCCGAGCGCGAGCAACTCCTCGACCGCGACCCTAAGACCATGGTTGCTCACCCTACGCCAAAAAGCAAGAAGATTGCTTTTGGTGGACAGGCTGCATGGTTCGAGTTTGAGTTGACCACGTCGACCCTTTATACGACTCTGATTTTTGTGGTTTCCTTTATATTTTAAAAATGGGAGCAAAGTTGTCGTCAGAGGCGCAGAAACCGGACGATCTAGCGGTGGCCAGTACGGCTGTCTGTTGCGGCCGGTCGCGACAAGCCAAACGATTTTATTACGTATACACAAACATGGAGCAGATTTTTTGAAGGATTTTTTTGCAAGACAATGAGACATTATGCTGCTCCTGGCGGAACAGCACGCAGACGCGCCATGTCCAGATGATGAAACTGGCATTTCTCAGCGAAGACTTGTATTGATTATTTTGATTTGGCGTCAAGGGGATTGTTGAGTACATAGTCGGGTCTGCATTCGTCAAAGGGGAAGAATGGCGTGTGATGTAATGCGGGAAAGAGTACAGGGCGAGAGCATGTGCCCTGCGGTGGCTTGTAGCAATCATGATAGAATCGGCATTGAATTAGAATTTGGAGCATTTGTACGAGATTTGTGTCATTAGGCAGTAAGCGATTTTGCTGGACCAAGATTTTCCTGTCATGTTGTCATTAAGATGGAGGGGCTCTCTGTCCATTTAGCCCAAGAAAGCATGGTTCCGCGCCCTTTGGCACCGATGCCGGTCATGGGAGTCAGCATTTGCAGCGGGATCGGAACCGAAACCACTAGAAACCAGCAAAAGCATTCATTCTTTTTTTTTCTTCTCTTCTCTCACACGGGGAAAGCAAAGAGTCAACAGAATCAGAGCCAGCATGTCACTGCCAGTCGGCCCATTGGTATCGCCGCGCGAGGCCATGCGCCCGACTCACGAGGCGCTCCACGGCCAGACAACGTCGCTCGTGCCGCTCGAAGCAGGCCACGCCGCCGGCCTGTTCAAGAACCTAGGCGGGCCAGAGAACCATGCGCGGTGGACGTACATGCTCACGGGGGGCTTTGCCACGCTCGCCGAGTGCCAGCGGGACATTGAGGCATGGAGCGGCGACGCGGCCCCGGACAGGCTCTACTACGCGGTGCTGTCTGGGCCGGCGGCGAGCGGTGCGCGCGAGCCCGAGCCCGAGGGCATCATGTGCTACCTGGCCGTGGAGCCGGGGCACCGGCGCCTCGAGATTGGCGGCGTGGTGCTGGGCGCGGCGCTGCAGCGGACGCGCCGGGCCACGGAGGCGTTTTACCTGCTCATCCGGCATGCGTTTGAGGACCTGGGCTACCTGCGCGTCGAGTGGAAGGCCAACAGGCTGAATGAGGCGAGTCTGAGGGCCGCCGAGAGGCTGGGGTTCACGTTTGAGGGCGTGTTTAGGAAGCACATGGTTGTCAAGGGCCGCGAGAGAGACACGGCGTGGTTTAGCATGACGGATGGGGAGTGGGCGCGCGTCAAGAGGGGATTCGAGGCGTGGCTGGACGACGGGAATTTTGATTGTGACGGGAGGCAGAGGAGGGGGTTGAGGGAGTGTAGGGAGGGTTGAGGGATGTTGGCGGTGAGCTGTTTCTGTGTCCGCTCTGGGAGTTGGCATACGGATGGATGTCTCTGGATTTGTTGGACAGCTTCGGCAGATGAAACCCTCATGTAGTGGGTGACTGCATTGGGTTTTTGCAGTCGAGATGCAGGACCATGTTGTGTACTTGGTACTGAGCATTGTGCGATGCGTGTAGTCTGTACTACGCACGATGAAGCAAGCCTAGGTGGGACGACGGTCATTGTAGCGTTTCGTGGCCCGGGATTTCGGGTACTAAATTGCAATGGATCTTGACTTGGCTGAGTTTGCGTTTCGGCGCATGGCTTGGTAAATCAGGGTGCTGTCAGTGACGTAGTTGAGTCGAGTCGTGCGTGGCGTGCGGCCGTTTGCAGATTGGGGTGAGTCGGTGTGAGTCTGGAGGTTTCACCTGTCACCAGTGGAACGTGGCGCAGCGGGAAGACAGTTGATGACATCGGTTTGGGGGCTGTTTGCCCGGCACAAGCTCTGTGTTGCAGTCCTTTGCCTAGCCGAGTCAGTGTCGTCTTGTCGCGATGCAAACCGTGTCGGAGGGATGCAACCTGGAAGAGACGCATGTGAAATGCTCGATTCGGTTGAGGCTTGCGCTGATACCCCGGCATGCCGTGTTTCACATGCGATGCTCCCGTCAGACAGCAAACAATCCAGATCCAGATCCAATAACTCGATTCGTCACGGTACCCGGGCGTTTAATCCACGAAGGGGTATACACATTTGACTCTAAAAGACGAAAAGTAAATCTCCAGAGCCACAGATCCGAGGCTGAGGACAATTCCAGCGCCACGTGCCACAAAGGCAAAGTCAAAGTTTGTCTGAGACCACAAGAGAACCAACCGGAGATTATTCGCAATTCATCAATTCGAGACGAGGGGCCCCCCGCAAGAAAGAAGGTTGGTGCCGGTAGATCGAACCGTCGTCCAAACTCGTCTCACCCTGCGGGCATCTTCCTTGTCGGCCAGCCATCCGAATCACGTGCTTGACGATTTGTGCACCATTGTACGACTGCACCATTGTTCCAGGTTAAAACAACAATCTATTCACCAGATACATCTCATTACCACCGTCGCTCAGCAATTTTTCCCCCTGTCGACGGTGCGAATGAAGGGTGGTCGTTGGGAGTTGGGGCAACGACACTCATCCATGTCCACGGCGGTGAGACGACGCAAGACAGAAGAAGACGCCTTCAATGTTGCAGGTAACTCAATCAGGCTTGGGAATAGCCATTAACCATGAGGAGAAGCCAGACGAGTGACCGTGCAAAATGGCAACAAGCCAGCTACACCAACACCAAAACTCCCAACAGCCTGCGCGCCATATCAATCTGCACATGCTGCGCAAAACACAAAATCTCAAAAAAGGCTCCAGCATCGTAATCTAGCCATGTATTCAACGAGAGTAGCGCTCAGTAAAGACAGTCACATTTGCCAGCAGACAAGTAGAAATCCAACCCCATCAAGCCAGCACCGCGCCCAGCCCTCAACAGAAATCCGTCTTCCTCCGCAGTCCATGCATCCAACGGCCGTCGAAAATAAACCACCAATAAACGAATGAATGAAATCCAAAAAACGAAAAAAGGTAGCGACAGGAAACATGCCGTGCCCCCGCGGCATTCACACTCCATTCAATGTTCTCCATTCCAACACGGGCACGGGGCCCGAAAGCGAAAGGCGTTGGTCCGGGTCCAGCCCCAACCAACTAGGTGACGCAGAAACTCGATCGACAGAAGCATCATGTTTGCGACTGAGGTTGAGCAGTAGTCGTCTCTGAAGACGGGGGGGGCGTCGCTGACTGCCCCTCTGTGTTTTCGCGGAATTTGCTCCCACACTTGCTCAGCAGCATCACCGGCTTGGCGCGCTGGGCAAATGTCTGGACGGCACGCGCTTCGGTGGGCTTGGGATCCATGACGACGTCGACGTTGGCGTTGGCGAGAAACTCGGTAATAGTTTGTTTGTTCTTGCCCAAGAGCAAGAAATGTAGAAAGAGACAAGGTTGTCAGATTGGCAAAAGAGTAGGTATTAGCTTGCGCGAGTAAGGGATGGATGGTGGGCGAGTTGACAGACGTCGGAGCTATTTCTCGCAGACCGGGACGCATTTCTATACTTTTGAAATAAACTGCCACATGATGCCATCATTCAGTCACAGTCATTGTCCTTGTGCAGCTCAATCCACGACGGGTCAAGTGACTGGCCGTCTTTGACGTGACGAGACGACTGCTGTAGCAAATTGGACAAAGAACGGCAAAACATGTCGCAAAGAATAAAGGAAGAGACACCACCACCAAAGAGTTCGAAACTGCACTTAAAACTGAACAAATAGGTATATTTTGATCTTTTGATCCAATGTCTATCTGCCGCACGACAAGTGGCCTCGGCCACCAGTCGAGGTTGAAATACCGCCGTTGACGCCTGTAGAAAATGGCCAACTCCGCCTGCAAGGACAAAGGGCGGTGATGAAAAGAAACTGGTGAGAAATTACAACAAAGCATACAAACACACACAAAATTTGCCCTTGTACCCAAAGTATCAGACTGGCCTGATGAAAGCAACCACGTTTCGGCTTGGCTTGTCGTCGTTAAAACCTGGTCCCCTTCTACCAGCCATTGTTTCCTCCAGATGACGCAGGCCCCCGGTATCCGTAGCCTGGCTGTTGGTTGTCGGTAAAGCTTCTTTGGGGGCCCATGGCTCCTGGACTTTGCATTCTCTGCAGTCCATAACCTTGCTGATGGGGGCCAGGAGATCCCATTCTTGAGTATGGGTCGGGAGCTGAGCCGCTACGCATCTGGTGCTGACGAGGGGAGCCGGGAGGCATTCCGGGGCTCGGAGACCGCGATGGATGACCAGGGCTGGGAGGAACACCAAACTCAAAACCATGATTAGAAGGGGCAGGACTGGCTGTTCGGCCGGGCTGGCCTCGCATGGCTCCTGCAGCTCCCATTGCTCCGCCAGCCACGGCACCAGCACCAGCAGCGCCAACGAGGGGCTCACGTTGCTTGCGCTGCTTCCGAGGCGAGACTTTTCATCAAAGGGGCCGTCAAAGGGACTCGATTCGGGAACGTGGTAAGAGTTTTCGTTGGCCATGCCACCGGCACGAAGCTCCCTGGCATTGTACTCTTGGCCATGGTCGGTGAAACCGTCGGGATTGATGCCATCCTTGAGGAATCGTGCGTTTTCGCGTTGGTCCTCTTCATCGCGTAGGGCTGCAGCCTTGGCTTCTGCGGCTCCAATGCGGCGCTGTCGGATATAGTACCAAAGCAGAGTCCCCAGGGCCAGGGCACCGACCGCACCGCCTCCAGCATACACCCCAGCCTTGGCTCCCGTGGGAAGGTCGTTCCATTTTTCGCTCGTAGACTTGTCGGGCTGCTTGTTCAGCGCGTCAAGAGCAGTGGAGTTGCCACTCTCAATCTTGATGCTTTCCCAGCTGCCGGAGCGATCGCCATAAGTATATTCCTTGCCGCTGCTGTAATCGGTGACCTGGGCGCTCTTGAGATACATGGTATAAGGCCCATTTGCATAGTCTGTATCACCGCCCGCCCACAGGCGAGTTCCCTCGGGAAGCGACGGGTCGCCGCCGGCCCAGATGCCAACGCTCATACGCATGGGTGTCTGAGGATAGTTGTGCGTATTGTTGGCATCTTTGGAATTCAGGGTGCGGACATGATTGCCGTCGATGAACCACTCGATAGAATCCTTGGTCCATACGGTGGTGTAGTTGTGATAGTCGTCCTGCATGCCGGTCATGGGGTGAGAACCGCCGTTCTTAAAATCCTGGCGGCCCTTGCCAAAATAGTTGGTTGTGGCGAAGGTCTTGTTAGAGCCCAGAAACTCCCAATCAACCTCGTCGAGGTCATCGCTAAGCCACATCATGGAACTGACAATGCCTCGGCCAGGCGCGACCTTGAGGTGGATCTCAGTGCGGCCAAAAAAGAAGTAGAATTTGGTGCGAAGAGTTGGCGAGTCACCTTGTTTGTTGATGGTGAAGGCGGCACCAGTTTTGGCATCGTATGACACAGTACCGGCAGTGGTTTCCCAGAGGTCGCTACTCGGGGTGATGTTGAAATTGAAATTATGATCGGTCCCGAATGCTGGATTTGCTGGACAATCGCGTTCCATGGGATTGCAATCAGTATGTACCTGAGCAGCCGCCAGGCCCAAAAGGGCTGTTGCGGTAACAATTGAATTGTAGAGCATATTGTCGTCTATGATGGACTCTTATGACGTGTGTGTGTGTGTGCCTCGCGGGGAGTAATGGCTCAAAATACACCAATGCTCTTGAGCAACTCGTCGATGAATGGTGTTGTCGTTTAGTAGTCGTCTTCCTCTGTTCCAGCAGAGGTTTATAGTGTTGTGCTATTGCAAGAAATGATGGAATCCAATGCTCGAACCCAGGTCAATTGGGATTAGACACGCAGACGCAGACGTGTTTAGTCAAGAGAAGGAGTGCAAGGGCAATTGGTGACAGCGCTGTCGTATGAATGTGGCCCAGTTGAGAAGGGCGTGAAGCGTGTTGTTTAAGGAACGTCAGATGGAGGCCCGGAGGCAAAGGAGTGGACGTTGTCAATAGACAAATGATGGTGAAGGAGCGGCGATGCCAACAGCAAGGTCAGAGTCAACAGGCCTTCATGGTGAGGCGAGGCTTGTTGCAGTCAGGCAATGTCACAGCAGAGGCGGCATTTGGTATTTCGCATCTGGCCGCCGGGGCAGCTCGCAAACGGGGGGCGGTGTGGTATCGTGCCAAGGAACAATGCCCATTGCCATTCTAGGAGCAATTTTACCCGTGGCGTCAGGGGGTGACGCTGGAGTCGGCCAAAGCAGGACCAGACCCATGTTGAAATTCCCTGGACGTGGGCTTTCGTCGTGAGACAGAATGCGTCGACGTGTGGTTCCAACTGGTTGGTGGCTGGCTCAGGGGTACGGAGTAGAGGCAGGCGGATGCCTCCAGTCTTGGTGCTTGCCGCAACGAATGGCAGCGGAAAG